AGAAAATGAAAAAAAAAAAAAATATTTGGTCATTTGTTCAGAGATTGGGAAGGGTTTTGGTTCAGACACTTTTCACCAGCCTCTTGTATATAAGCAAATTGTAGGTAAAATGACCTGAAGGAAGTAAACATAAAACGAAGATACGATGAAAGAAGAGCAAATATATCTGAAGATAAAACAAGTGAGAATAAAAATGGATGACAAAAGGAAAATAAAATAGAAAAAGAAAGAAAGAAAAGTAGGAGAGGAAATTGGACAAAGATGTAGAAAGAAAGAAAATTCAATAGAAAGAAACTCACGAAGAGGAAGCAAAAGCGTAAAGGAAATAAAAGTCGTGAAAAATAAATAGAGAGATGGAAAGAAAAAAAAAGAAAAGAATATAACAGACATAACAGGAGAGAAAATAAATAAAACGGGGAAAGAGAAAGAAAGAGCAAAATGGAGAAGAGAGAGAGAGTGATGGCGAGCGAGCAATGCATAAGATAGAAAAAAACGCAAAGAAAAATAAAAAAAAAAAAAAAAAAAAAAAGGACTTAAGACAAAAGAGTGGAAGATGTTAATAAAGTAAAAGATTAGGTTTTCAAAAATAAATAAAATCCAAAATAAAAATGTCCTCATCAACAAAAACTGGAGACTGAAAACTTAAAATTACTGTTAAAGAAAGGAAACCCAAAAGGCAGAGAAAGTTTTACCAAAAACGCACAAATTCTCTGAGGATGGATAGAGAAGATTTTTAATTTATAACCCCACCCTCTTTCAAGTGTTTTTAAGTTAAATTAAAAAAAAAAAAAAAAACAACAGCATTTTATTTAAGCATCATACCAATGGACTGCGGTAATTTTAACAAGTTCTGAGACAATACGGTGCTTTCACATTTGATCAACATATATATAATATATATGATATATATATATATATATATATATATATATATATATATATAATCGAAATAAAAGTATAAAATTTAATATTACAAGACATATTAAAACAATATTAAATAATAAAAAAACAACAAGAAGCAGGGGAAGCAACCGGTTTCGCTCCCGCTCTTCAGGCTTCCACAGGAGATTCAAAATTAAAACAGAGAAATGTACAATAAAAATAATTGGAAAAAATATATATATATATATATATATATATATATATATATATATATATATATATATGCAAGAAGGAACGAGAGGCAGATGATAAGCGAGTCCCAGCAAACACTCGTTGTTTGCACAAAGAAGGCTTTCTCTGTTTTAATTTTGAATCTCCCGTGGAAGCCTGATGAGCGGGAGCGAAACCGGTTGCTTCCCCCCACCCCTTGTTGTTGTGTTTTTTTTTTATTATTTAATATTGTTTTACTATGTCTTGTAATATTAAATTTTATACTTTTATTTCGATCATTAAATTCTGTACCGACAAAAATATCTTTAAATATATATGAGAGAGAGGGAGATAAAAGGTAAAGCTTCATCTTGTATGCACGCTGGTACAAATAGGGACACTAATACGCTGAATTGAATGTCGACAGACAAATGAATACTGATGTCATTTTAGTACATACATTCTGTAATCTTTTCCCACAGCGTATTCCAATTTCAGACATACAATACTACTTCAGACATAGCCTAAAAGGCGTGGAGAATTTGCTGGTGATTAGTATATGTTAGATCTAACATCGTTTGCAATAGTAACCACCTAGCATTGTGCGAAATTTGGACTTTACTGGTAGGTAAAAATACGTTGGTATGTTACCACCTCAACCGAAAAAAAATTAGGACCATTTAATGAGTTATTTGTACCCACTTTATTTTCTGAAAAATCGAGAGTATAATCTGTTAGGAAAGTATAAACTGTTTTTCCTAAAAAAGAATGGTACCGTGAATTTAACTGCATTAATCAAAAAGCAAAATTTGACGAAAATGGCCCTTTTTATAGTTTGGATCCAGTTCGAATATATCCCTGTTCAACTGATGTTTAATGCATTCGTCTGTTCCCGAACCTAAACATTTAAAGCAATGATGAGGTGTTTTCTGGAAAACAGCTCCCCGTATGGTATTTTTCATTTTCTTTTTTTTAACGTGCATGGTTCGTGGATTTAGTTTTCCTTGCTACTAACTTTGATAAGTTTTCTTTCTATACACTTTATCATTATTAACTAGAAAGTTTTCTTTTATTTCTTCTTTTTCTTGGAAATATTTCAGAAGATGATTATCTCTCATTCTTGGCATTATACTGACTGACTTCCTTTTTAATGTCTTCGTACTTTTTCATCGTTCATTGTTTTTCTCTTGAACCTTCAATCTTTTTCTTTCTACGTTTGCTTGTGTATTAAACTTTCGGATTTTCTGAATTTTTTTTTTATCATTTTTACCTTCAGGCCTTCCAATTTTCTCCCTGGTTACCACACAATCTCCCTTTCCTGTTGTGTATAAACGCTTTCTATTTCTTTCCGCCATTTCTTTGCACCTTTATCTACATTTTTTTAAATCTTTATATATTCTTTCCCCCCTTCTGTTCACTATTTGTCTGTTCTTACTCTCATCATTGTTTCTTTCTGTATTCCTCCATGCAGACATTTTTCTTTGTTCTTTATCACCTCAAAACGTTTATCTTTTATCACTCACAAATAATCTCCTCCTGACGCCATTTTGTTTTTACAAACGTCTGCTTCAATGAATCAGAAAATGTTACCTGGTAGAAAGAAAAGGTGTGTTTACTTGAACGTCCATATTGCGCACATATGTTCAAGTCGTCCGCAGACGCCAAATTTCAATTTTATCAATAAACTACATATTTAAAACTACAGAAATATATAATCTCACAAACAGACAAATATATATTTGTTTTTTTTTTATATAAACTGTGCGAGTACATCAAAATGGCTATGTATCTACACTTAATGAAATGAGAGAAGTGGCGATCATAAAAAAAATGATGTAATATATATTGACTGGATCAAATCATTCCCAACATGCACAACGCAGGTAACTCCATTCTCAGCAATTCGTGTAATGCAAGTTATTGCTTATTTTTTTATACACGAAAATAGTCTCTATTATGCATCCTGACAAAAAGCTTAGCTGACTTACTTGTCCATTAGGTTATTAGGAGCCATTTCCATCATTTTATCGTTGCAGGGTGAAATAATCATTAGTTCCAAATATCTGTCATTTGTATACGAAAACTGCAAGTTTTCAAAATTATGACATATATAAAATGTGATATATCACATAGCCAATCAGCGGATGGTATTCGCATTCAACTTAATGTGGAACACATTTGTTTGTGAATTCAGCTATGGTTATCTTAAGATTGTTTGAACACTTATAATAAAAATAGATTACAATAATGTTTGGATAGAAACATTTAATGCTTATATTTAAATGCTTTATTTAAAGTACTTAAATTTTTTTTTATCTTGTGTTGAAAGTACTGTGGAAAGGTAATTTGATCATACCATTATTTTCTTTTAGTGACATGTGCTTTCCATTTTTTGTAGCTGTTGTTGTTGTCGGAAATTGTGGCTTGTTTTATTTAATAACGTTCTTTGCTACTCTATGACTTTGTAAGAAAAATATTCAGAATTATTGCTATGACAGTAAATTTTCGTCCTTTATTTCATTACTAGGAACATTCCAGCATTCACATACCAATTGGCACTGCCAAGCTCGGATTAGAGGTGTGTAATGCTTAAAATCAAAATGTCACTGACTGTATTGCCTATAGAGAGATTCACTTTCCAAAATGTAACCAAATAATTAAGCGAGAGTTTTGTTTAGTATATCCTTGGCAGGGCTGTGATTTTTTCAGCATCCCTTGGTAGATTAAAAAAATCTGTCGAAGATAGTCATCAAGTGCTTTGCTGCATAACCATAATGGAATTCTCAAAGAAATAACTAAAATTCTTCTTCAGAATTGGAGGATTCTTTATTATCAAAAGATTCAAAAACGGTAGAATTTATTTTCATTTTGTTGTTCTTTTAGCAAAAATGGAAGCGGTTGAGAAGCTATTTGATCGCTGACAGAAAATTCCCGAAATTAGTTTTGCTCAGAATAAAAACTGTCACTGAATCCAGAAATGAAATAAAAATAAAAAATATGTAAAAAATAAAAGAGAAGCAGTCATGTGGAAACGATGGCTGAAAGTGACGAACTGAGAAATAGTTGAACGCGTAGAGCGTAGAGGAAACCAAAACAAAGAAAGCCAAACAAAATGAAGAGTTTCGCAAGACCGGAGATTGTGCCTCATCGAAAATAGACCATATTGATCTTTGCTGAAAAGAAATATGCAAGGAAGAGATTCCTGTTTTTTATAATTAAGTACTTTCAGACAAATTGGTTTGAGAACCAAATGCAATGTGTAAAACGACTTGAAATAGTTGTCAATACTGAAATTTCTTTTGAATAATAAAAAAAAAATCCTCATTTGTCTGATCACCTGTCATATGAACATTCTGTTCATCTGCAAATAATAAACGTGAAAAGATAATTTGATTGAAAACGCGCAGAATTCAGAAGGTTTTAATATATTTACTTTTCCTTGAAGAAGTACCGGATATCTGCTATATTTATTGTCAGTTATGACTGAAGAAAAATTGAGCATTTCGTAGTCAAGTAAAAAAAAATAAAAATAATAATAAAAAAAAAATAAATGTTCCTCCGATTTCATTAAAGTCATTGAAGAATCTTTGTTGGACTTATAAGTACCACCTCGTTTTTGGAAAGAAATGAAAGTTACTGGTGTCATATTCCCAAAGGAGCCTGGTAGATTGATGGAATCGTTTTCTACGGCTTACCAACACTTTCAGGTTATTTAAAGCCAGAAAATATTTTTACATTGTAAAATGTGTTTTTATAAATAATGATTTAGTGATAGAGGTTTTACTATTTAACACATAGCTGGGAGAAAAGATAACTTTGCCAAGGGTATTTACGCGTAAGTGAATATAACAAACCCAACTGGAATTCGAACTCTGCTCTCCGATTAACAATTCAGAGCTATTATCCATTTCAGCACCTGGTATTCTCAACCGGTCACCCATCTAAGTACTGACCAGGATCGACATTGTTTAACTCTTGTGATCATACAGGAACTGGTATTTCAACGTGATATGGACTTAAGCCCAAAGAGACTCGAGGTATTACAGTTGTGCTTCTTGTGAGATACAAGGAAGTTTTAAGGAAAATGGGAGCAAGAAGAACGCTTGTGCTTAGAATCAGATAACAAAAAAATCTGCTGAAATTTCACAGGTACTTATGGAGGAGAGATGGCTTCGCGAATTCGATACTCATATGATATATTAAAAAGTAAGGAGCTGAGAGAAATCATGAATAACCTACTTTGCTTATATTACGAGCTTGAGTAAATGAATGGCAGAATAGAGATGGTGAGGAGACGGGCATTACTTATAGCTACAGAGGAAAGGAAGTTGTGTAGAGCCGTGATCGCCACGGTACATAATAGTAATGAAGATGACTAGTAAAAGTCGAGAATCCAGCCCATATGTATTTTTCCTCCGTCAACTGCTGTTGCATGCTCGTGATGATCTCTTTCTGAAACATCTGTCGATGGCAGCGCTCAGGGAAAGGTATGTTCATGCTTTTTTTTTTAAAAAGATTCGCGAAGTGTGCCGTTTCGATTTTTCTGCGACGCGAGTCGAAGTCGCCAAAGAGAACGACCTGGCAGGAACGCTTTCTTTGCATTACTTAAATAAGTGTCCTGCTGGTAACATAAAACAAACAACGACCTGCCGCCTGGTTGGGACATCGAAGAATTTCATAGTTAAGAGTGCGAACAGACACCAAACAGGATTCATAAAGTCTGTAAAAGAGCAGATATGAAGGTTCTTGTAAGGTCAGCGGCCATCTAGCACACTGGGGTAGATTGGGTTCCATAGCTATGGATGCAGCTAGTGCGTTGATGACACTACATCACTGAGCGGAAGTCAACACCCAGGGCGGCCACGTATCCATGACCAAATCGAGCCTTCAGGTTGGAAGTTATCTCCAAAATCCACTGAATAGAATTATAACAGAAAGTGATTTAGCTGTTCTAAGTGTTTTAAGATAAACCTATGTTAATTTTACTCACTCTTCAAGATGACTGATCGGTCGAACTTCCGGAATAAATTCTGGTGCTTCTCCTAAGAGCAGAAATCACAAATATTGAATTTTTTCAATTTACTATTAAGCCATTCCGGAAGAAATATCTTACTCGCATAATCTGAGTGAGCAATTCTTCAAGTGTAAAGAACAGCATCGTTTGCAGATATTGTATTCTATCTCGATCGACGGAAAAAAAAAAGAATTAGTTTATATGAATGTCCACCGACCTCTTTCGTAGGAACGATGAATAATGTTACTCATGCGGAAAAATCCAATTACTTCAGATAAAAAGTCCAAGGTGGTGCTGAAAAAATTCTTCACCCAATCCACTTCCCAAATGATCAGAAGTCTATTTTAATCTTTTCTTGGTCCGAAATAGAGGTTTTAACGAGTCCTCCTTAATCATACTAATCCCGGCTTCGAATGAAAAAGCTAAAAGTGAGAAAGTGATGCTCACAATGTATTTCGGCAAGGCAGTAAAACCTGTAAAGAATAATAGCGCTCAATATAATTTTTATAGTAATATTAACCCAACACACAACTAAAGAGCCACTCAAGGTAGAGGATTACAGTGTGGCGTTGGATGAGGGTAAGAAAAAGCAACAAGTGCTGTTCATGAAGTTACGTAGGAAAGATAACGGTTACCCCTAGACTTGAAAGGGTCAATATTGTAGTGTTCGGGAAAACACCTTGTCATGATTCTTTCCCCACAAAGCATCAGCTCTTGGGAAGAAGCTGGCCGAATGGAACTTCTTGCTAATGAGATACGAAGGAAATAGTGAGGATTCAAGGCGGGTTTCATCTACAAAGGTTAGGGCTAGTGGAAGCAAGGAATGTAGCACGTCAGAACATGCTATAGAATATCGAGAGACTTGATATTTTTTTACCTGTGGGCAAGGGGTTGTTGGGCGGAAAATAATCCAACATCCGCAAGGCCGCGTAAACGCTTTTGAACTGTCAAGAAAGGCAAGCACCGACGCTCGTGAGAAACATAACTAGCTCACTCACATTGAGAATATTAATGAAAAAAAAAGAAAAAAAAGCGACACCCCACCAATAAAAAGAGAGAAAAAAAACCCTAAAAAACGGGAAACAAACAGGAGGAAACAAACAGAAAAAAACACACACGGAAAGAACAAAAAAAAAAAAAAAAAAAAAAAAAAAAAAAAAAAAAAAAATAAATAATCAAGAAACAAAAGAAAAGACAGAAAAACAGAAAAAACACCCAGAAAAAAAAAAAAAAACAAACAAACCGAAAAAACAAACAAAAACAGAAAAGAGAAACAACAGAAAAACAGAAAACAAAAACAGAATAAAAAACAAAAACAGAAAAAAAAATACTCGCAGGAACCAATACTAAGTATAGAAGCAAGTGTAATGTTGGAGTTTTGTTTATAAAGGTAGGTAGAGCAATAGATATCGACGCCGAAAATAGAATCTGCAATCCAAATTTAATTCACGACAGTCTTGCAGTCACTTTCACACAATGATTCAGGTCTTTTTAAAGGACCTATATCTTCTTTCTCCAGCTACTGATTAAAGACAGAGTTAGAATGGGTTCTATAGCTTTGTATAGAAGCCAATAGAGGAGAAGGAAAACTGTTGAAATCAATGGAACGGCGTTTCAATACAGTTTACGTAGCAATCGACAGACAGAAATAGAATATGTTGAGAGCCATGATCGATTACGTCTTGAAGAGAAATGACATTGCAAAAAATTGTCAAGTACATATGGCAGATAAAAATTGTTTTGAGCCGCTCATTGAATTGGGGGATAGTTTTCCTACATAGTAAATTCTAACGCTTATACGGACTTGAAAACCGACTACACACTGTGCTTAAGTTTCATTAAAAATGATTGACAAAGTACTGCCATTAAGCTTTTTATCCATTTTTTTTTTTTGCATTGGTAGAAGTCTTTTATTTTCTGGACAATGTGCGTAAAAACTGTTCAAACAGAGGACCAATATTTATAAACTTACGGAAAGCTACCAAATTGTCCGCAACCTCCGTGTTTGAAAATGAAAGGCATTCCCATCACTATCGATACACATGCATAAAAATCTAAATGTTAAGTCGAAAAAAAAAAAATCCTTGATAATTCCAAATAGAATAGCCGAAAGCGCTCGGATATATAGAATATTTGGACAGTTTTTACACATTATGCCCAGAAAAGGAAACACCAGTACGAATGCCAGAGGAAAATTGAAAAAAAAAATCTTAATCTTAGAACGCTGTCAGTTGTATTTAATGAATTTTCTATTAAAGAAGGATTACTGCCAAAATATACAATATGCACACACGCATACATCTACCTATGACTTATAGTAATGACTGAACTGTTAAACAAACAATTTCGTCATCGTGAATTATCTTTTGAAGTATTTTTTAACACATCAGGAAATGAAACTTTGAGAATTTAACAGACTGAAGGCCAGAAAAGTAGGGAAAAAAACTAACAGCGAGTGGCCTCGCCCCCCCCTAACGAGTAAATGGATAAAAGAACAGCGACCCCAGAGAGAGATGGTAAAGGATCAAGATTTACTTAGAGCAACAAAAACAAGGAATTGCACAACATCATTGCCTCCCTACTCTAATAACGGTAACAGTGAGTTGCTGACCAATGAAAATGTCAAGTATCCAGCTTACAAGAAATTATACTAAGTATATCTTAAGCTACAAATTTAAGACACTCGCGAGAAAACACACTGCCACATACCTGCTAAATATTGCTCCACGGTGTGGTGGCTATCCTGAAAAATTTACTCAGATTAGCATAGTTTGGTACAAGGCAACAAGTTTGGAGTACTCAGTGAAGATCGAAATCAGTAAAGTAGTAATGACCTAGACTTGCTCACAACTATTTTACGACATGATGTTTTTAAATTCAGTTAGTCAGTTACGTGCCATGCGTGATACACGCGTAGGTGTTCATGTATTTTTCGATACATGACTGGCGAGGCAGATTTTTTTCCCGCAGTAGGTTGCCATTTTTTTGTGCGGTAGACCAGTTGCCATCCAAGGCTATAGAACCCGGTCTGTCCTGCTATTTACCCATAGCTGGATTCATACCTTTCCCCATTGTATTAGCACGTTATTGAATGTAATGGATTCGACTGGAATTCGAACTCAGCTCTCCGTTTTTAAATTACTGAGCCATAAATGTGCCACATCACTGTGAATTGAACACGCGATGCTTGATAGGGACTAATCAATACTCTGCAAAGATTCGCTATCCTTAAGCTATAAGCAAACCTCAATACGTTGAAAGAATATCAATAGGTAGACTAACTTTGTCCATGGGTGACAAATCTACATCTATCTCTTCCTAACTCCTCTCCCGACGGAGAGATACGTAATATGACTAGTGTCTGCTGTCTAATATATAATAGGATCTTGAAGTTGTCAACGATACAAAAACTGCTTTTACGACAGAAATCTTTAGTCGTTGCATCAAAACCAGAAAATAACGCTCCCAATATTCGGATCAGGAGAAATAGCTGACAAGTAATGGCGAGAAATAGAGCAAAATTCAGGTAAGTTAGGTTAATTACCTGTGGTTTTTATTTTTATTTAAAAAAAAAAAAAAAAAAACATGAGTGTTTTGCATTACCAATGGAAATATATTTACAGGATTTACACAACTGATTAGTATTTAAAGCAAAACAGTTGATCAAAAAGAAATCTTCAGATAACACTGCGGAAAGATTATAGGAAGAAGCCAATAGGTCATCGTCATTGTTTTTTTGGAGTTCACGCCCTTTGGCTTGAGACAGGTGAATTACCAATAACCTAATGAAAGATTTTCCCAAATATATTACTGACCAGAATAAAATCCTTAATTTGCCCAAACAGAATCAAGTAGCAAAATGAGTCTGCCTTTCTCAAGAGGTTTAAAGATCTCAGCAATCGCTGATTTATTGAAATGGTAATTTATAAATTATCGCTGAATTGGATGGAGACAAAGAAGCGTTGACAAAATACTTTCAGTTTTGGATCTTCCCAATATGAA